CTCCACAGTGGTTACTTTGGGCCAGTTCCACCTCTCTGAGCTGGACTGCCTAGCTATTCACTGGGGATGCGGATCTTTGTCTGAAATGAGCCCTGTGGCCGTCAGGAGCCTGGTGCTGTAGACTGTGGACTGAGCACTGGATTCGGAGTCAGTGAGGCCAGGTTCAAACTCTCAGCCTGGTCCTCTGTAGACAGTACCTGCTCCCCCCTCCCCCCCCCATGCAGAGAGGGCCGCATGCATCCTGGGAGAGCGAGGGAATGTGGTTGGACACAGAGTCACCCTCCTCTCCTAAGTGACAGCCTGTGGAGGCACAGAGGCACCCTTAGTTGACCCAGGAGATCATCGGTGTGTGTGTGTGTGTGTGTGTGTGTGTGTGTGTGTGTGTGACGTCCTGGGGGGCTTCACAGTGGCGTCTGAGATGAGGACACACCTGTCTTGCCCAGTGTAGGCCCCTGTGCCCCTAGAACAGAGCCCAGGACCCAGCAACAGCAAGAACCAAACTACTGTCATCCTGGCTCACAGTTCCCCCGCCACCCCCCCCCCCCCCCCCGTGGGACAGGGCCCGACTGTAGGTTTCTGCGTCTGCATGGTAAAGGGACTGGCTGGACTGGGACCGTGGAGAAGGCAGGGCTCCAGGAACAGCATGGAACGGGCCTGAGAGAACCATAAAATTAGTGTGGGGGTGTATGCTGGTGCGGCTGCAGGGAGGATGACCTCAGTGGGTGGTCCTGGGTTTGGGGACAGGAATAAATGGGCTGTTTGAGGGTGATGTGAGTGGGCGGGTGGCTGGGATTGATGGGGTGGCCTGGTGAAGAGGTGGGGTGGGGGTGGTCAGGACAGCCAGCCAGCCTGCACCCTAACTGGGACATGCAGGGGCGTCAGGCCAGGAACCCAGCTGATGGGAGAAGGTGGGTGGGCGGGGTGTCTGGGCACTGTGGGCCAGCGTGGCCGCCAGACGACGGTGCCAGGGGAGGGAACCAGGCGCTGCCAAGACAGCCCGTCTGCGGTGAGACGTGGCTGTGCCGGCACCGGGCCACGGCCTGCCCGCTCCTTGTGCACTGGTTTCTCTCTGCTTCCTTAGAGCAAGCGGTCCCTGGGGGTGGGGTGGTGGTCTTGGCCCAGCCAAGGGACCCAGGAGCCCCTCCCCCCCCCAGGGGCTCAGAAAGGGACAGCAAGGCTGCAGAAAGGGCCAGAAAAAAACACCAGTGGCCCCCGGTCTCCAGCCCCCAGCCCCTGCCTCAGCCCGCCTCTGGGAGCCTTTAGTTTAATTTGGTGCTTAGAAATTCACTTTGGAAGTGAGTTCATTAAAATGGGATCAGGCCCCACGTCCATTTTTTAAACATAACGATGATACCAGTATTAATAGCCAGCATTTATTGAGCACGTGGTTAACGTGCAGTGTGGGGAGAATCCCTCAGGGCAGCCTGAGGAGGTGCCAGGTGGGATCTTTCTTTGTAGGGAAAACCGGGTGGGGACGGGGCGGAGCCCGCCATGTGATCTGGCATGTACCTTCCCTGTGTCTTAGAGGCTTTGCACCAGGTCCGGGAACCAAAGCCCCAACCCTGGTGCAGGGGCCCCTTTCAGGGACCCAGCCCGGCCTTGTGAGTTCGTGAGCAACCACGTGCTATGTGGCAGCTGCCGCGTCAGTGCCGATTCTCCCTGTTTCACTAGTCCCCTGGGCTGGTATTATAAATGATACTGCCCCGGTGTCAGTGCCTGTGACCCAGGGCTGCATTCTTGGGATGCCTGATGGCTAGAGTCAGAGCAGCGCTTAGATCCTCCAGCCCCTAAAGAAGGGAGTGCAGAGGAGCCGGGCTGGGCTGGTCTCTGCTCCCTGAGGCTGCTGCCTCAAAGCTGGGGGTGCTGCCCGCCTTCCCACGGGGCCCAGGAAACCTGTGGATGGGCAGGTGTGTGTGGCAGTGGGAAAAGGGAGTTCTGGGAAGAGCAGAGGGAATACAGCCTGGGTATCGGGGCTGGAGCTGATGGCGAAATTTGGAGTTCCTTTATTATTGGGGCGAGGTGAAGGGGGCTCTCAGGACGCCCTTTGCAGAGCAGTTGGCTCAGGTGGGCCCAAGGGGGGCCCTGAGCCCCACTGCTCTTGGGAAGGGTGGGTCGGGGGCAGGTGGGTAGGAGTGTGAATATGAACAAATGGGAATGGATCGGAGACAAGGGAGCATCTGGGATTGCTAGTTTTTGGGGTAGTAGGCGTTCCTGGGTGGGGCAGGCTACTGGCTAAAAGGCTGGGGACTTACCTGCATCTCAAGGAACCCTGGTGGTGTAGTGGCTTATGTACAAGGCTACTAACAGCCAGGTCTCCAGTTCAAGCCCACCAGCTGCTCTGAGGGTGACAGCCGAGGCAGGCTGTTCCCAACATGCTCTGTTCTTGGGGGTCATTGTGATCAGAGCCCACTTGATGGCAATGGGTTTAGTTTGGGGTTATGAAGAGCCTTGGGAAGTTGGACTACCAACCTGCTTCAGAAAGGCCGTGGTCTGAAAGCCCCACAGAGCAGCTCTGAATGGCACACACGGCAACCAGCATGAAGAGGGTGAAGGCTTGTCAAGTTCAGCTGGGGCCTTGCTTGCCCCCCCAGCCCCCCACTGGCCTCCATCCTCTATGGGATTCTTCTCTGTGGCCCTTTCCCTGCAGGTACAGCCTGCATGCCCCTCACCTCCTCCTCAGTGAATGGGGAGTGGGGGGTACTGGGCTCCCAGCCAGACAGCTGTGGTGTGGGTGAGGGGGGGCAGCATCCCCCCTGCTGGGTCAGGCTCTCATTGTGCGGCCTCCTGGCTGTCCTGCTGCCCAGCTCTTGGGCTCAGCCCACATTCCTGCGGTGATGCTCTGGGTCTCCGGGGTGGAGCTGCTGAGCGTGAGGGGCACAGAGTTCTCACAGGACAGACCACCCCCCCTTCCCTGACTTTGCCTCCCATCATCCAGTGACACTGCGTGTCTCTCCCTGCCACACCACCACCACCCCAGGCCTCAGCCTCTACAGCGGTGGTGGCGGGGTGCTCGGACACAACCATCTCCCAGGTCTGGTTCACCCTGAAAGGAGAGGCCTGGGGTGGGGCCCCAGGCCAGGAGGGTACAGCGAGGACTGAGCACACCTGGATGCGCCTACATTAGTATTCTTTCTCCTGGTTCTGGCACACAGCCCAGTGAGACCTGCCATCGTCGTCACTTAAAAGCTGGACCAGAGAGATTAAGTCACCTGCCCAGAGTCCCCCAGCAAGCATCAGAGTTGTATATAAACAACATGCCGGGCTGTTGTTCTTGCTAGGAGCCACTGCCTTGGTTCCGACCCAGAGCGAACAGAACAGAACACCGTACCGGTCCGTGCCGTCTTCAATGGGTTCCTGAGTCAGAGTCTATCATTGTAGCCCCCGGTCCACCCATCTCCCGGAGGACCTTCCTCTTTTTCTCTGTCTCCCCTCCACTTTACCAAGTGTGATGCTGTCCCCGCCCCCAACTGTACAGCCCCTCACACAGGAGCTCCCTGCGTGCCATGTGGGCGTGTTGTTATTTGTGCCTGGGAGAGCTGGTTGGAACCCAGCACCGTCTGACTCGAAAGCAGGCCTCCTGGTCCTGCTCACTCACCTCTGGTCGCCCGGTGGGTGGAGTCTGGCTAATTAGGGGAAGGAAGCTTGGGCAGAACTAATTACACTTGATTTTATTCTTAGCGTTTGCAGCATGGTTAGCGCTGAGCAGGGGTGCAGCGCTCCGGGGCCAGCCCATGCTGGTCTCCTGGCTCCCTGCCAGCTGACCTACTTTGGTTCTGGGACTTGCCTGTTCTCCCTCCCCGTCCAGTCTCTCTGCACCCTCTCCTTCTGTGTGGCCTCAGCCTTGCGACTTACCCTCTCTGGGCCCGAGAGCCACATCTGTCCGAAGCCTGAGTGTAATCACCAGCCCTTCCACTGCCCTGAGGTGGAGACCCTGCCATGGAGACTCAGACGGAACATCAGAAACACTGGTGTGTAACCGACAGCAACCCCTTGGCTACATTTACATATCTGCACAATCTCCCGGCAATAGTGACACTCTTACAAGCCCCATTTTACAGATAGAAAACTGAGGTGCAAGAGAGTCAGGGGCGCGCAGGCAGTCTGAGCCTCTGGGCAGCCCTCTCATTTCCTTGGGAAGGCTCATGATGGGAGCAGGTGGGGGGCGGGTCACTCTGTGGACTCAGATGTAGGCAGAGTGAGACAGTAGTGGAAGGGGTCTCTGAACTGGGGACACCTCGCTGATCCCAATGGCTTCTGGGAGGCTGGCTAGGGAGGGAAGGGGCGGCCTGGGGTGCAATGCCCCCTGCTTTCCATCCATGGAGCGGGGGCGGGCGGGGGTTGGGGATGAGGAAGGGCAGTCCTCAGGGGCTGCTGGGCCTGGGAGGCCACTGCGGGGTGTGGCTGTGGGTCTGTTCAAATTGGGTGGTGACGAGCAGGACAGTGGGTGTCTGTCCAGCAGGAAGGGTGCTATGTGTGGAAGGAGAGAGTCAAGCGTGCCATGTGGCCCATGAGTGGGCTGGCGTGTATGTGGCGTGAGCATCGGATAAGGAGGGCTATACGCAGGGTGGCCCGGAGGCCTATTTCGACTGTGCAGGCAGGCGTGTGAGTGGGTACTGAGCACACAGTATGTCTGCAGGATGGAAGTGTGTGCACGAGGGCTGTGGCATTTCTCAGTCGAGGTTGTGCAGGGGGTAGACCCTAGATGACCATCGAATCTGGGGGTGGCCCTGCAGCCATCAGGATATGTGAGACCCAGCACTGGTGCTTGAGCCCCACCGCTTCCACCTAACCACTGGGGTAGCCGTGTCTGTGAAGTGGAGGTGTGGAAGGCCTGGGGTGCAGTGCCTGCCCCCTGGGGCCTCAGCGGTTACCTGGGGTAACCCATCACCAGGCCTTGTCACCTGTGGGGGGATTGGTGATTCAGGAAGCTGACATTCAGGTGCTCCTGCAGCGGGCACAGCCCCTTGCACTGACTGTGTGGGGAAGGCATGGGGGCCTCCATCGCCACCCCGGGTTGACTCTGCGTGGTGAGCTAGCAGGGTGCCCGCAGGGACGGTGGCATGGAAGTGGGGGATGAGTGAGAGGAAGGGTTCTGCTGGGCGGTCTGTATGCTGTGGGGGAGGCGTGGGGTTGTGAGATTTTCTGAGGTTTGTTAGGGGGCTGGAGGAATGCAGTGGGATGGACAGGAGGGGTCCTGGGTGTGGGCATGGGCAGCTGCAGTGTAGTAAGTGGGTGAATGGGTGATGGTGAGTTCTGAGACATGTTGTATATAAACTTACTGGGTATCCAGGTGGAGGTTGGTAAGGGTTGCTTTTAATTGTGTGTGTGTGTGCAAGGGTGCCTGCAAGTGTGCGTTTTTGTAGTGTGACTGTGTCTATGCTGCGGTGGGTTGTGTGTGTGAGGCTATAGGGCTCTATTGCCTGTCATGGGGTGTGTGTATGTGTGCGTGGGGGTATGTATGCATGTATTAGGCATGTGAGGGTGCGGGCTTACCTGGATGGGTGCAATGAGGGCCCAGGAGGGGCTGTCAAGGTCCTGAGGCAATTGGATTCAGTTCTCCTTTATGAGGATTCCATGGATATCTATGCTAATTCTTCATGGGATTATGCAAATTGAAGAGGTCATCTGGGGGGTCAAAGGCTGCTTGTCACCTTCCTGTTCAGGGACTGTGTGTGTGACTTCTGAGTTCCTGCCCCCCTCCCTCTTGGGTTTGGTTCCCCACCCCACTTCTCTCTCCTTCCCTTCTCCTCTGCCAGCACCTTGTAGTGGGCTGGTAGGGTCCCCCAGGAGGCACAAAGTGAAGAGCTTGGGGCTTGGTGAGATGGCACCCCAGGGCCTGGCTGGTCCCAGGTGTCCCTGGAGTGAAGTCTCCATGGAGCTCACCAGAGAGAGCCCAGGGGTGACTGGGTTCCTGGCCACCATCCACCCCATCCCAATCTGGGGACTGTTTATTATTCGGAAAGAATGTTCCCTTGGATGCAGGTTTGGAAAATCACTGAGGTGGCCCCCTCCCCAGCTTTCTCTGAGCAGCGTGAGGCTAAATTAAGATGTGAGAGAACTCTCTCCCCCTGCCTCCCACTCATGCCTTCTCTCCCTCTTTCCCCCTGAAGCCCCCCTCCTCTGTCCCCCCTTCCCTCTCTGCCCCCAGGTCTCCTCTTTCCTCGGCCCATCCCCTCGTCTCCAGCCCCCCTTGCCCTGCCGTTCTCATGGTCCCTCCCTTCCTCCATGGTCTCTCACTCTCTTGCCTCCCTCTGACTCTGTGGGGACCTGGAGCTCCTGGTCCTTAGCATGGAGGAGATGGTTGCCATGGTAACAGTTGTCATGTCAATGGCTACTGAGCTCAGGATGAATAGTATCTAGGTGAGAGCTACCTGAGTGGAGGCTGATGGAGTCACAGGCTGCTCTGTGCATGTCTCGGGTCCTCTGAGCCTTGCAGCATGACCCCACGGCTCCACAGCTCCATGCCCGGGCCTCTTTGCACCATGGCAGGGTGACACACTTTGGTCTCTGTGGCTGCCTGTGGGGCCATGTTTGGGGTGGCTCTTTCCTCTCTGTGTGTCATCAAGGGTCAGTGTGCCTTGTGCACACTGGGGCAGTCTGTGCATTTGTGCAGGCTTGAGAGTGAGGTGTTAGGGGCTGGTGTGTAGCATTGACTACAAGGGGTCCAGGGCTTCCTAATTTGGTTGCCACTTTTACCCCAGTGGGGATTCCCAGGGATCACATGCCTCTTAGACCCCTCCTCAGAACCAAAGGCCTTCCTGTCCTCCCTGGAAGATAGCTGCAGGCGGGGCTCCGTTCCCTGCCCTGTCCCATCCTGCTGTGTGGCCCCGCCAGGTACCCCATGTCCATGGCTTCAGGCTGCTTTTCAGCACACTGGAGGGACAGGAACAGAGCATCTCCAAGGGACTCTAGTGTGGTCGCTAGCCCTGGTTACGGAGGCTGCTGGTGTGGGGGGAGCCCTCCACCCCCACCTCGGACTCTGTGACTTGTTCTGGACAGTGGGGTCAGGGGAGAATGGGAGAAAGTTGGATGAAAGCTGCTTGGAGCTCCTGGAATGTCTAAAAGGGAGGAAGACCCAACAATTAGTCACGGGAGTAATTACACTAATTGTTCCACTACATGACTCACTGGTAGCAAGTAAATACTGATTAATTCATTACTTGGAGGCTGTGTGTGTGTGTGTGTGTGTGTGTGTGTGTGTGTGTGTGTGTG